ATAGATAGATAGATAGATAGATAGATAGATAGATAGATAGATAGATAATGATAGATATTTGAAATAAGCTATTTCTGTTGCATTCATTGGACTGTATCCAATCAATTGAGCATGGCACATAGGATACCCCTTTCTGCCTTTCCTGAGAATACACTTTAAGAAATGACTGGCTAAAGAGTTGTGGGAGCTGAAGTCCACACATCTTAAAGCTCCCAAGATTGGGAATTATCTCAAAAAGACCATCGTTACCTTTGCCAATGCTCCAGAAATATAAATCAGCTAAACTTAGGTGAGGCATGTAGGCTAGGATTAGATGTCTCCATGTCAGGATGCTATAAAGTCATCTAGCCTAAACTGTTCGCTTAAACAGAGTCAAGATGTGGTGTGCATTTGTCACTAACTTAGAGTGTTATGAATTAAAACGATGACGCATGTTTCTTGTTCAGGCTCACAGGTCTTCATATTGCCAGTACAGTTGGTGCCAATGTCAGAACATACTTCACACTCCAGAGTGGCAACTGAGGAGAGAGAGAAAGGATTTTTTTTTTGAAACTCATAAAATAAAATTCATATTTTTTTTATAATTCATGTTTTATTTACAATTTTCCTTTCACACAGTTGAGGTAATTCCCCGTTAGGAGAATGAGCACACACAGGGAGACATAGTGAGAGTGGTGAAGAATAACACACAAGCAGCACACAGCTACACTGTATAGTAAAATGTAGGTTTTTACTTCCAGTAAAACGGTTAAGCAAAGTTCAACAAACAGTCCAAGTCATTCACAGTTAAAGCAGTCAGTTTTCAGTCCAGGGATAATCCAAAGTCCAGTATCATAAACAGTTCAGTAACAGACTTACATCAAATCCAAGAATAACGATGATCAGTAACAACAGTCAATAGGGAAATGCAGGAACACAGTCTCAGCAACAAGAGAACAGGACAACCCAGGTTTCTGGCTCCATCTTATAGCCATTTGAGGAACCACACCCAATTACAATTTTAGCATTCCCTTAAAGAGACAGTATTAAAATGTCTATCCCGGTTTATATATTTTCCAACCCAACTGTTAGGTGACTTACATTCCTAACACACACCATACATATTTTGTGGACAGTGCAATGACTGGGTCAATGCCCTTTTTAAACAACGCTAACAATGCTAATACAAATAAATATACACTATACAATACTAATCTTCCAATCTCAACAATTCTATTCTCTCTTTATGGTTCTTATTTTTTTCCCATTAATTCATTTAAGCATAGATAACATTTCTTTTCACTGTGTATTTATTATCCCCTATTACGTCACTTATATTTAATGTTTTTAAAAATTACGCTTCATTCCACCATAATTTCAATATCCCAAATATCTAGAACTACTAAGCAAACCAAATGTTAACAAAATTTAGTCAATCCCGGAACTGTATCTCAAAATCACCACAATCTCTAATCCTTAAAAGTTTTAAGTTCACAATATATTTTAATACACTATTAATATTAATAATACAATTAAATTACCTAATCCTAAACTTCTCTTTTTTAAGAGAAAAAAAAACCAAAAATCTCTTCAAAAAAAAAAAATTAGAAAGACATGGATGGATGTTCAAAGGATGCAGCAGAAAGAGAGAGAAAAGAGAGCATTTTCTGAGAATGTATATAATTGGATCATCCTTCCTGAATTCCTTAACCCTTTCCTTTGGAGGTTTTGTCAGTGGATTATAGCAAACCTGTAAAATAATTGTTTGGGAAAGATTGCGCTGTAGAGATTCTGAAATAGAGTCAGAAGAGTAGGGGGAGTTTGGATTTTCTCCAGTCCTGCTCAAATCATCAATTCAATTCAGGTAATCAGTTCTATCCAAATTGAAAATTCAAAACATTAACCTGAACTGAATCTCCAAATCAAAATGCAGTATTATACAATCCCAGCAGGTGCAGATAGCTAAGCAAGGCGGATAGAATAGAATAGAATAGAATAGGATAGAATAGAATAGAATAGAATAGAATAGAATAGAATAGAAGAATTGGAAGGGACCTTGGAGGTCTTCTAGTCCAACCCCCTGCTTAGGCAGGAAGCCCTATAGTATTTCAGGCAAATGCTTATCTAATCTCTTCTTAAAAATTTTGAGTATTGGAGCATCCACAACTTCTGGAGGCAAGTTGTTCCACTGATTAATTGGTCTCACTGTCAGGATATTCTCCCTTCGTTCTAGGTTGCTTCTCTCCTTGGTTAGTTTTCATTCATTGCTTCTTGTCCTGCCTTCTTGTGCTTTGGAGAATAGCTTGACTCCCTCTTCTTTGGGGCAGCCCCTGAGATATTGGAACCCTGCTATCACGCCACCCCTAGCCCTTCTTTTCATTAAACCTGTGAGTTGTCCCTGATTTTAAAACCTTTTCCCCATTTTCCTCTGAGGCTTCCTTACCTGTCTTTAGAAAATCAAAGAACAAGAAGATTTGCAGCAAAGATTGGACGGTCTTGGTTATTCCACCATGAGAGTGCATGTCCAGAAACCTTTTCTGCATGGTAGTAAATTCTTCAGGTGAAAGGTACCTTGAATGGAGAAAGAAGAACTAAGGCTGAAGGAGGTCCTTGTTATGGTTACTCTTGAATTACCCCGTAATCTATCATGGACCCGAGGGAGAAATTCATCCAGTCTGCATTTGGCTGAATTTACAAGGCATTCTTGACTTACAGTCAAAATGAGGACTCGAATTTCCATTACTAAACAAGGAGAAATTGTTTAACAGATTTGAATCATGCTGACCTTGAGCTCTAAACACCCAAATAAACATCGAAATGGTTCTTTACTGGAGGAGGAATGTGAAACTCAGCTAGTCTGATGATGGATGTTTGCAGGGGCCCAGGAGACAGGAAGTGATATTACACAAACTGTGACTTAAAATAAACGTATGTGCTTCATAACAATACAATCATAACAATACAAGAGCACACAATAGATACAAACTCAAGGTCAACCGCACCAAACTTGACTGCAGAAAATACGACTTCAGCAACAGAGTGGTCAATGTCTGGAATACTCTACCTGACTGTGGTTTCTTCCCCAAACCCCAAAAACTTTAACCTTAGACTCTACTATTGACCTCACCCCTTTCCTAAGAGGCCTGTAGGGGCGTGCATAAGCGCACCAATCATGCCTACCGTCCCTGTCCTACTGTTTTTTTTTCTTATGTGTATCCATGTCTTCATAACTATGTTTTTACTTATACTTGTAAGCAATTGACAAACCAAATAAATACTAAATACTTCTGAGCAAAGGAGTTCAAAACAGGAACAAACTTTGTTGGATGTTGGATGCACAGTCCGATCTTCACATCCTCAGTGAGTCCTACAGTGCAAGCCTTAGTCTCCTTGTCTCTCCTCTCAAAGCAAATATATTTGTGTGAACTTCGAGAAATGAAGTTATGCCTCTCTAATGGCTTTGTATGAGCCATGGTGGCACAGTGGTTGGAGTGCAGTACTGCAGGCTACTTCTGCTGCCTGCCGGCTGCCTGCAATTTGGCAGTTCGAATCTCACTGGGCTCAGCCTTCCCTCCTTCCAAGGTGGGCAAAATGAGGACCCAAATTGTTGGGGGCAATAGACTTTGCAAACCATTTAGAGAGGGCTGCAAAGCACTGTGAAGCGGTATATAAGTCTAAGTGCTTTTGCTATTGCTCTTGTATGCATGCGTGCCTTCAAGTTGTGTTGACTCCTGACAACTTCCAGCATCACTCCCTGCAGTTTTCTTGCAAGATTCCAGAAATGGGTTGCCACTGCCTCCCTCCTAGGGCTGAGGGAGAGGGGGATGAAGGAAGGAGAGGGAGTCAGAGAAGGAGAGATGGGGAGGGAGGGAGAGGAAGAGAGAGAGAGATAGAAGGAGAGGGGGGGGGGAGAGAGGGGAGAGAGAGAGGGAGAAAAAGTCTGGCCCCAAGAAACTCAACCAAATTCAATGGCTAAGATGGACCAAATTCAGTCCTGGAGTTAGACTGGGTGAAAAAAATTGAAGTTTTCTCTGGCCCCTATTGAAAACCATGGTCTAGATCCACAATGTGGATGATTTTATACCATACCAAAATAGTTCTAGATAGATAAAGACAGGATAAGTTCAGGTAATTGGTTTCTTTTCTGTATTTCCGGCCGTGAAATGAACCTAAATTAATTGCATCAGTTTAAGCTCCCACTTCCAGTAACTGCCACCCGAGATGCTAAGGTTCTTTTTTTTTTTCTTCCTTAAAGTGAAATTACCTCCATCCTCAAGATTGGGTTCCTTGTGCTGGAACCCAGAGGAAGCTATGAGAGGAAAGAAATTTTACTCATTTTTTTTTTTTTGCAAGAGTAAACATTTTTTTTACTCTTTTTTTTCTTTTTCTTGCAAAAAGTGGTAAGGGCCCTCTCCTGTGTAGGCCTTGTGTTGTATTTGAACATCTCTCTCTCTCTCCCTCTGTCTCTCTCTCTCTTTCACACACACACACACACATGTTTTACACTCCTCTTTTTCATGTGTTTTTAAACCCTCCGTCTGCTGGGCGAGCGGTGTATGAACATCCAGCTTAGGTGTTCTAACTGCCATCACTGTGAGGAATGGCAGGACCTGGAAACGACTTCAGCCATGGCAACTGAGGTAACTTCATCAATCCAGGGGAAACCTAAGGAAAAAGAAAGAGGGAAAGGGTTCACCCTGTTCACCAAAATTACACCATTACTCATTTCACTGACACAAACATTACTTTTTAATTCAAACTTAAGAAGGGAGAAAATAAACAGCATATATGTTTGATTTTGCATACATTTCACATTTCAAAGACTTGCCTGGGTCGGTACCCAAGAAGCAGGATGTTTGCATCTTGAACTGATGGGAAAGAGCCAAAGCCAACACCAGTTGCTGAGTGAGAAAAAAAAAATCAAAAGATTTTTTCTTTGTGGTGGCAGGAGATGCAGCTTGAAATCCAGACTCTGGTGACTTCCGTTGCTTCTCCGCCAAAGGCCCTGAAATTGGTTGACCAGGGATAAGAGGTGAAACTGCCTCAGTAGGACATCTAGATGGATTATTGTGACATTTGGACCTTCAACCTTGAAATGAAGTTTCTACCACCCTACTGAGATGCCAGGAAGACTGTAGAACAGAGACACACGATCTAAAGATTTGACATGCTGGGGAGACAATCCAACAAAGGGGAAGGAGGACCGGAATGAAATATTTTCCATGCCATTTGAAAGCTGCACCAGTGTGTCGTGAGTCTTGCATCAACGTTTTGGGCAGCCTTGATGTCCAACTTCATCCGTGGATCTGTAAATCTCAATGCCGGATTCTTCTTTCAATCTCACATGTCTTTGACTTGTTCAAATGAATAAAAAGAAAATCACAATATCTCCAAATGGCCAAACTGAGGAAGCAAAGTGCCAAACTTAACTGGTCTCTCAGTGGGCAGTCAGAAATATTTTTTAATGGGCATTAAAGACGAAAAGCATCATCGGTAAAAGAGCCAGGAGGAAAAAACTTCAAGAGAGGAGGAGCTGCTATCTGTCAACCCTGAAGTGACACTAACCCTATTGGCTTCTTCTCAGGTTACATCCTGGATCCCGGAATTTCCAATCAGTGGCCCTCGGTAGGTTTTTAGTATATATATATATATTTCAGGCTCTTCAGGGGAATGACCAGAGCTCAGAAATAAGTCAAACATGCTGTTGACTATGACAGGTTTTTTTTTTTTCATGTGTTGATGTTAAATAGTATAAAAATAGGCAATGCCATATCCTTTTGGAATACAAATGACTTTTTTCTTTCTTTCCTAAGTAAGAGAGACAGGTTAGATAGATAGAAAGATTGGAAGGAGGGAGGGAGGGAAGGACAGATTAAACAGAAAGATACAGACGGACAGACAGACATCTGGCTGGGGAGAGAGAGAAGCTTTATTTTCATAATTTTGGCAGCAAATGGAGCTGGGACCACTTTACGGCTGACCCCACCAGAAATAAAAAGTCAAAAGGAAAAGCGATGGTCCCTCCCAGGTGAAGCCTTGGTGTGTTTGCAAGTAAGCCCAGGACTTGCTCAATGGAAAGACGGGCAATTTCACGGGCAGACCAAAAGCAACTCCTACCTGAACTGTCTATGGCAAGGTCTGTTTTCTGCTGGGCTAATTGCCACCGCTGCTTCCTGCATGTTCAGGGACGATGGGCACACAGCGAGCGACTGAATTACAGGGATCAATTGTATGTTCTTAGGACCCAGCCTATTTGTAAGGATCTCCAGAGGGACCAACTGCCGAATGATGAAGCAACTTGGTGGCTATGTACAGTATATAGTAGCAGAATTCTAGCTAAATACTAACAGAACTAAGATCTTCCAAACCTTGCTGTTTCTTTCTCATCCTTCAAAGCAGCTTCTACCTCCCACATTTACAGCATGGCTTAAGAATGTTCTTTTGTGATTCACTCGGCTGCCACTCTACAAAGGCTAATGTTTTCTCCTCTCTTTAAACCCGTTTGCTAATGCCAGAAGCACCTGGTGTTTGCCTGCCACAGTCTATTATTCTCTTTCCTGGAACCTCTTTGTGCATTTCTCTCATGTCTTTAAGCACCACAGACTTCTTCCTTGTTCCGACTTCGTATGAGACTCGCAATGAAGCCGTGACAGAAAGCTGTTTTTAAGGCTAAACCGAGTTCTTCACGCTGTAGGATTTGCCTAGTTTTTAACTGGCTTATGAATAGATAATCAGAGGCCTTTTTTAAAGGGATGAATTTGTTCTGACCCAGCTCCCCAAACACAACCAACCCTCTGAAGTGAACTCAAAGATTCCTTGAATTAGGAGCACCCACAGCCCGGTAAAAAGTTTCTCTTTCAACGCAGACTAACCAATCCATCCAGTCGGAAGATGAATAGTTGTCTGCCACATCTATTCATCTCTGCCCCCTGCTCTTTATCCCCAGAGCTAAGGTGGGGCTTCACTAGCAGCAGTGGCTGTTCCTTCCCAAGGATCAGCCCACAGATTTCCACTGCTCTCCTCTCCTCTCCTTTACCTTCTGCGTATCCACGTGTCAGGCACTAGACCCAACTGTTCCTCCTCTTCCTCATCAGCCACCTCCAGGCCTGGGGTCTGTTGACTCTCCATCTGAGGGCTGTTGGATGGTCCAGGCTCCATCTCTCTCTCTCTCTCTCTCTCTCTCTCTTTCTCTCTCTCTCTCTCTCTCTGTCTCTCTCTTTCTGCCAGTTCCATT